ATTAAGGAAAAATATATTTTCTTGTAACATTATGTCTACTCTGTGGCCTAAATGTGATCTTGAATACATTAAAAGCTAAAACTACAAAATGACACACTCAGAGGGTCCAATTCAGCTTTAATGAGACATTATAGTTTCCAATTATCCAAATTATCTTGCATATGTCTCTCAACTACATATTTTCCCACTCCTCCATTATTTGAAGCAAGTTCTGCTTTAACATATTTCATTTTCCAGAATAAAAATACAGAACTCAAGCAAAAAAATAATAATCACAGAGAAGATGCATGTATATACACACAATGAAAGAGAGACTTGAAATGTATTAATCAGATAGGAAGACACATTTCCCTTCACACAAACACAGAGCAACTACTAGTGAATATATATATGAATAGAAGAAATTGAAAGAATAGGAGTAAGATGAATAGGCAGGATTTCAAATATCACGGCTGATATTGTTGCTTGGGAAAGATTGCTTGTTTGCTTGTCTCCTTACATTTAAGTTTTTGGGTAAACATAGCTGGTTTTTTATTTACTTCCTGTTCTTTTACCTCTTTTCCTAAACTTCTCTGTATTCATCCTGTTTTTCTCTTTTCCCAACAATTTCCTTTCCTTTCCTTTGTAAACCCAACCTTGCTGTTTGCTTCCTGTTTTTTTATTCTGCTGTTAGAAGAAAAATACAGTTTGTAAGATAGGATATCCTTATAAACAGAGCATCTTATTTTACAAGCAATTTAATAAATACTAATTCAATTCTTGAAATTATAATTACACACGTGCACACATATACACAAATGTGGGACATGTACAAATTTACTGGACGGAGGGCTTATTTTAGCTTGAGTTGGCAGTTTAATTTTACAGATAGGAAAACTGAGCATTGAACACTGCCACTGGGTTTATAAAAAAAAAATTGTGTATCTACACTATCTTTTAGGAGCCAGAGATCTTCTTATTTTCGGTATTGCCATCCTTTTGGGCGGGTATGATTCAGGTATGTATACAAAATTATGAAAATACATTTGGTATTACAGCAGAACACAAATATGCCATCCATATTTAACATGTTAAACTAGAACAACATATAGATAAGAGAGGCTAAGATATAGGAAACGCATTATTTCTATAAATAATTATGGTTATTAGAGAATTGTTCTTCACTGTACCATTTTTCATCATTCTTAGTGGTTACAGTAATTTTATGCTAGTGTAATTCCTCACATTTCAGTCCTATTAATCCAAAGAAAGATTGATTTTAGTTTGTAGTGTTTTGTAATAATAAACTTAGCAATGAACATTGAATAATATATTATGCTTCGTGATTTTACATATAGGTCATCAGCCAGAGGCTTCCAAGAGAGCTGTCAAAGCAGATAAGGTGAGTGTCAAAGGCAGCATGATTGAATCCTGTCCCCCTTGCACATATCTTTGACATAAACACATGTACAAAACAGGTGCTAATTTAGTTGTATTGCTGTGATTGCCATCTTGGCTATTTGGACTCTCCAAACTTCACTTAGTCTTCATGTATTACAAGAGGAAGTGCTTATCATTTGTCTATTGTTAGCCACTGTTAGTACATTATATTCCTCCTTCAAGCATAGTTACCAACAAAAAGAGTGGTGTTCCTTTAGACTTCCTCTTACATAAAAGGAAGTATATATGGATATAAACAAGCATATATAAATAAACCTCTTTCCCTTTGATAGTTTTCTACAGTTAAGTAAAGTATTGAATATGAAAATATTTTATGTGAATTATAATATCATAGTTTACTAAATATCACTGAAACTAGTTGCTATGTATTTGATATATCTATAGGATTGCAGTTTAACGAACTGTACAGAATTGGAACATAATTTAGAAGCAGGGAACAATTTGTTTCAGAGGTAACAGATTGGTTGTAATTAAAAGAGAGATGCATAACAGCACTCTCTTCATTCATGCATTTGTCCCCTTGTTTTATAGGACGCTGATTTCACCCTGAAATAATCTGTATAAAAGATACTCACTGTAATCAGAATGACCAAATTCTGCTTAAACGAAAGGACAAGAAAAAGGAAACAGTAGAGAAAAGAAAATATGAGCAATTTTGAGTTGTGTTCCAACGTCCTCCCCAAGATCTTTTGCATTTTATTCTCCATTTTGGTTAGTTACATGGCCACTGGCTTCCACCAGGCATCTGCATGCACCTTTTGACAGCTTCACAAAAAGGTCCACAATACAGAGTTTTATATGTGGGAAACGTTCTTACATTCAAAATAGGGTGACAAACAGTTTCTGGAGAAGGTCTTATTAAACAGTAGGGAGACAACATAAGTTATCACATAGTACCTGGCAACAAAGCATCATAGACGTTGAATAGACTAGAACAATTTTATCACAAAAATCACAAAAAAGTAAATCTCTCTGTTATGCAAAATATACATTTTAAGATCTATTTCATATTTTCTACTTTATATTTACTAATACTGATTTGTGATCATTTCAATAAAAAAACTATAATATATTTAACTGCCCATATTTTATTTCTTTCAATATCTATGAGGTAACAATGAAGTAAATCAAAACAACAACAGAAAGCATCTATACAATTCTGGCAAAGTCTGTGATTTTTTTTCTTCAGTTTCCTACTTTCACTTGCATTCACACATCTCTGATCTAAATCAAAACTAAACCATCTCTTGGCACATTCACTAGGATTCATAAAAATATAGATACAGCAAACTGAGAGTTCAAAGACTTCTTGCAAAATCCTATGACATTAATGTTCTTAAGTTACAAACTTTGCAAAAATACAGTTGCTATGAGGAAACGTATGTGCTAACATCACTATTGTTAAATTGTGTGCCTTTTATGATCCACAGTATGGCCTGTTGTAGTGACCAAGAAGAATACACAAAGAGTTGTGTTGGTCTTTTTTCATGGGGTTTCAGAGATGCAGCATCCCTTGGCATAGACGTCTAAAGCTGATATTCCATGCACACATCTTATTTACAGTTGACTCATCAATAGTGACTAATAACTGCATCTGCTGGCAGCAGCTGTTAAAATTGGTCCTTAATCCTCATAACAAGCTCGACTTCCATAGAAAATTAGAAGACTCTCTTCAAGGAGTTAGGTGATAATCGGGGCCCATTCAGAAGGAGCAATCTCTTTCCAGTACAGTCCTTGGTATGGCTAAATTCCATTGTCCCTTTTTCAGCAGTCAAAAATCCATGATAAATTCTGTATAACACTGTAGCCAATAATAGCAGCATCAGATATTAATTTCTTGATGAATCTATTTTCATATTAAACATATGTACTGTACAGCTATAACTGCAAGTGCTATTACCAAAACAAAAGGTACATCTCCATATACAAGAAATATAAGTATTCAAATACAACCTTGTACATTTTTATATAACATGCATCTTATATAAAGAATGTTACATGTTTAGATGCACCTGTTTTCCTTGCAATCCTAAACAGACAAAAATCTGGGAATTTTCAACAATCTGAATGATCTCTTATAATACTTTAAAAAAAACCTGTAGATATCTAAGTCTTTCACATTGTTGAGTGTTTTTCCTCACCAGCCCAAAACTTCATATCTGCAACTAAGTTCATGAGGTTGCTTAAACCATGTTACCTTGTTTTCATTATAAAGGAAAAAGCAATTATAGAAAATAAAATTTGAACATAAAAATGAATGCAGATTGTAAAAATGTGGGATTGAAGCGGCAATCCTAATGAAATGAAAAAACCATTGCTAAATCCCACATTTTGAAAAATGTTAAGGTAGTGGCCATTTATCAAGCTATACTTGGCATATGCATAGATACATGTATCAAAAAGTGGGGGAAGGAAGCAAATGCTTTTAGCAGCTAAACTTACATGAAAAGAGTAGCTTTGAAGAAGGCAACTGTGGAACATGAAGACAGATGAAAAATACAGACAAAAAAACAATAGCACAACACATAAGACAAAGCATTTAAAGAAAAAATAAAGAAATATTGACAAATAAATTGTGAAAGCCTTAGTTAGAGGTTTAAGGCTGGTCAAAAGCCCATTTTGAAACGATTGTCCTCTTACAGCTATATATATTGGTTTACTTGGCGCTCAGCATCTGAAAATGTTGAAGAATCCTGGAGAAGATATATGACTGCACTACCAAGCAGCACTTGCTAATTTAATATTGCAAGCCTAGATTGTGTTTACCTTTCTTTCATGTTTTGTGCCTTCCCCAAGCCATTAAGAAAGAGATCTGGCCTCTGCTTGCGTGTACCCAGTAATGACAACCTCTTTGTAGTTATCTGTGTGCAAACAACCGAAAATATTCAGAACTCTGATATATTAACCCAATACTAAAATAAATCAGTCAAGAAATAACATTTTTGAAAAAAATAACTTAAAATAAATCAAAGAGAACCAAAATAAACACAAACTGCCCAATCCCACATGCAGACCCATCAAACATCACTCTGATTTCAATAAAATGGTACAATTAAAACAACAAGAAATCTACACAATCCTAGGTCATCTATGATTCTAATTAATCTGCAAGATGGATTTCAGGTAATGGAAACAGAATGGTCAATGAACATGATTAGACTGAAGTCACATCCTATGCAATTATGACAAGATCTCAGACATATTCTGAACAGGTTGGAATCACAAGAAATGACAGTCCAATGGAATAATTATCAATGGAAGCACATTTATTTAAATATATCTCCCTGAAAATATGGTCATTTATTTACACTGTTCAGATTATTTTATTGCTGTGGTAATGTAGGACAATAGCGGTGAAGAGGAAACAAACCTACTGTACTTTAGAGGATCTTACAAGCAAAATTAGGATATTCAACTATCCAAGTGCTACTGCTGGATATTAACAAGTATAACACAGATTTATACTTCTGGCAATAGAACTTGATTAACGCTACAGCTATTCCGTTAGTTAATAAGCAGCATTTAAATTGCAGTAATGTAATCAACTTATAGCCTCTGGTTTACAAGATAGATGGGATGGGAGATCGAGAGCGTCTTAGACAAGGTGAGCTGTAAGGTGATATTACTGGAGACAGTCTCAAGGCATTGCCTGCCATGCCAGTTATGTTGTTTAAACTTCTGGATTTTTCATAGCCTTTCATGAGAAAATTCAGACATTAGTTGAATTCAAGTCAGAAAATAGACAAACAACACAATGCAATGTAATAATATGTTTTCAATGGGTACTTATAAAAAGTTCTAATATTTTCTTAAATAATAGACAAAAAGATAAGATGCCATTATACTTATCAATAAAATTAAATGAACTTATATTTTCCTGTACATTTTAAGGGCAAAAACCACTGGCATATACTTGCTATGCCTATTGGTTTCATCAATGATATTTAAAAAAAATACTGTAATTGGCTTTCCGATAATGTAATATATACATACATACATACATACATACATACATACATATATATATATGTATGGTATTCAGCTTTGTTCGGGTATTT